CCTTCTTCAAGCTCGGGTGGAGCAGTTTCAGCGTCTTCTTCCTCAATCACGTCTATCTCACTTAAAGTGATATGATACGATGATGCCACACTTTCTCTGTCATCTTCCTCGTCATCTTGGATTTTTGTAAAGACGACAGTTCGCATTTTAGCCTTCAACTCTTCACCACATGATATGGTCAAATAAGTACGCCGTTTCATGCGAGATGGAACCGAACTTCGAATCATTCGTGTTTTGGTGATTTTAGTATTAGAGACACCCAACTCTTGCTTGTTGCTTCTTTTATGTCCCCACTTTCTAAGTGGTCCAAGCCTATCTAAAACGGATGGCGTAAGTCTATCGAACCCTCGCTTGTTGCCTTTTTCATGCCCCCACTCTCTAAGTGGTCCAAGTCTATCAAAGACGGATGGCGCAAGTGTATCGAAGACAGATGGTGTAAGCCTATCAAAGACGGATGTTCTTCTCACTTTTGTTCCACTTTCAAGAAAATCGTCTGTTGATGAGAATTCATCTTCGATTATGTAATAACTGGTAGCTCTATTGATAGCAATACGAATTGGCTTTTGTGGAACAAATCCAAAACCAACTCGAGGACTTTGAATAGCATGTCCATTTTCTTTCAACATTATCTGAGTAGTATTGAGGCCATGCATCTTTTCGCCAACAACTTCGGCAGGGAGCCTTCCCAGTGTAGAATCTTCACATGGGTTGTAACCGGCTTTCACTAAGAGTTTATAAGTTTTTGGGCCAAAACATTTTGTCATTTGGGACTCGGAGAATTCTTCGCATTCCTCTTGGATTCCTTCTGTGGGATGAACAAATCCTTTAGGTGGTTGAGAAGTTGATCGCTTCTCGTCAATTGGTATTAGGGGAAACATCAAATCTTTCAAAGCCTCACACGCTAAAGGATCCTTGTCTTGATTATTTCTTCGCTTTGGTTCTTCGACTGGTAGAATTTCTTTGGCCTTCACCGTCTTCTCATCATCAAGATAGTACTTAGCATCGGCAAAGTGGGTTTCTGCCTCGGTGAACGGTTTATCATCGGCGGGTATCATTTTAACTACTCCGTCTCGACAATACTTGAAGCATTGGTGCCAAGAAGAAGGAACCACACTATTCTCATGTATCCAAGGTTGCCCGAGAAGCATGCGATATGAGGTTCTTGCATCAATGACATGAAACAGCGCACTGGACAACATATCATCCATTAACAACTCTATCCTTATGATACCAAGGGTCTTTTGTCCTTCTTGATTAAATCCTTGGATCATCAAGCGACTAGTTTTGAGTTCATCCGTGGAGATCCCCAATTCCTTTAACATGTGCAACGGCAAAATATTGACTGCAGAACCTCCATCGATTAAAATTCTGTTCACCTTCTGCTCACGAGCGTAGCCGGCAACAAACAATGGCCTATTGTGTGGTTTGGAACCAAGAAGTAAATCTTCATCAGCAAAAGTCATTGTTGACATGCATTTACCAATCACGGTACAAACTTCATTTGGAGATGGAGTCGTTCCACTAGCAGCGATCTCCTTTTCAATTTTCGCGTTGCATGAGATGTTGATACAATCATCATCTTCTTCGTGTACGTTCGTTGTCGTCATGTCAAAGGACTCGAAAGTGCTGACGATAAAATTTGTAGTGGCCCTGATCTCTTCAAGTGATATCTTCCCTTGGCGAGCTAGCTGCATAACTTTATCTTTGAATACGAAGCAATCATGAATTGGGTGCCCGACCAACCGATGATACTTGCAGTATTTTGGGTCATCGGTCTTGTTAGCTTCTTCGGGGCGCTTCATTTCAGGCAACTCGATAAGTTTTAAACCTAGCAAATCGTCAAATATTCCAGCCACATCAGTGTCGAGGAACGGATATTCCCTTGCTTGCATTTCTTTTAGAGTAAGTCTTCTTCTTTCTTGGAAAAAATCTTGTTTTTCCTCATTGTTTCCGTTCACTTTTCCTTGAAATTTGATAGGGGTTGCATTCACTGCCAAAGATTCTTTGCTTGAGGTCTTAGAGAAAACTCTACCCCTCTTCCGAAAGTCCTGTTTTTCTTTCGACTGTCGAGGCTCTTGAACTGGTGGTCCCTCAACTCCACTAGCCATAATGCTCAACTCCATGTCGTGTGCTCTAGTGGCTAACTCTTCGAAAGTCTTAGGTTGAATCCCTTGCAGGATATATCGGAGTCCCCATTGCATCCCTTGAATGCACATCTCGATAGCTGAAGCCTCTGACAATCGATCCTTGCAATTCAGGCTTAAATTCCTCCAACGGTTAATGTAGTCAATGACGGCTTCTTCTTTCCATTGGCGAGAGTTTGTGAGCTCGATCATGCTCACTGTTCTTCGGGTGCTGTAGAAGCGATTCAAAAATTCTTGTTCCATCTGACTCCAACTGTCAATTGAGTTCGGTTCTAGGTCCGTATACCAATCGAAAGCATTCCCCTTCAATGATCGGACGAATTGTTTAACGAGATAGTCTCCGAAAGTCCCGGCATTGTTACAAGTTTCAACGAAATGTGCCACGTGCTGTTTTGGGTTGCCCTTGCCATCAAATTGCTGAAATTTTGGAGGTTGGTAACCGATTGGCATCTTCAAGTCGTCTACTCTTAGAGTGTATGGCTTGGTGTATGTTGACGACGATTTTGAACCCTCATCGAATTTGTTCTTGATAGTTCCCATGATGAACTCCTTCAATTGGTCTATAGGAATCAACCCCTCTGACGAAATCTGGAATTCTTCAGCCAAGCTCTTCTCTCTTTCGGTTGGATGTCGCCTTGCAGAAGTTTCAGCTTCAGTGTGATTTCACCTTGTTTTCCCATGTTGTGACTACCGTCAACCTTGTTCCTCAACATCGCAATTTGGGAGTCTTGTTCTTGAATGTGCTTTGTTAGCCCTTCAATGGCCTTGGTCAAGATCGCCATTTGCTCCTCCATGGTCGTAGCATGTGTCGTCATGACGGGGGCCACCTCAGAGTAAGTTGATGTTGAACGGGTCGTGGATGATGAAGCTTCTCTAGATTCTTCCACGTCTTCACCTGTGTTGACGAGAGGTGATGAGCCTTTCTCAATGATTTGCGGTGTCGAGCTAGTCTCGGAGGATGCCTGCAGTTTCTTAGCCATACTCCTTGTAACTACGCCCATACTTGATGAATCCGAAGTTGCAGTCTTCATTGCAAACGTAGAGCAGTTACTGCAACACTTCGAGGATCTTCGAGGATCTTCGAGAGAGAGAAGAGATGAGAGGTAGAGATGTCCCCACCAGGTGTGCCAAAATTTGTAACAACAAATTCTTATCTGCGATTTAGACAAACAAGAAAAACATGCACAAATATAATTTTATTGAATTAAAATAAAATATTGCGGGTTATTAACTCTAATTTAATCCTCTGATTCTTCTCTCAAGAACAATATGCGTTTGACTTTGAATTTCGGAGTCGGGTCGTTGACTTGATCTTCTCCGGATTTGATTTGGATTTGAATAACGTTTTCCGAGGGTCATGCGACTTGAATCTCGGATCGAACGCTGAACTTTAAAGAGCTTTGACTTGAAGATCTTGGAGTTCTTGATGGATTTGGCCCTTCAATCTTCCTTCGATCTTGATTTGTTGAACTTTGACGGGTTTTGACTTGAAGATCTTGGAGTTCTTGATGGATTTAGCCCTTCAATCTTCATTCGATCTTGATTTGTTGAAGAACGCCCTCGATTTGATGAAGGAACGCCCTCGAACGCCCTCGATTTGATGAAGAACGCCTTGAATTTGTTGAAGAACGACTTGAATATTGTAGAGAGAATTTTCTCCTACGGATTTTCTTCTTCTTCAGTTGTGTTCTTAATTGTGAAGGGATGGTCCCTATTTATAGTGGTAGAATAAGAGTCCTTGATGGGCCTTACTGATGATGTGGCGCGATTTGATTGGCCCGATTTAAATTGATATTTATCTCTTGTAACTTCAGGAAGAAGAAATAATCCTATTGGTCAATATATATATTTAAAATCAATTATCTATTTAATTTAGGAATCAATATTAAATCCCTAGAATTAAAATAGAGAAATATTAATATATGCCACTTTTCATGGCATGCAATTTTGATTTGATTTATATTCAAATATCTAATTACGGAACTGCCATTGAGTTTGCATGAAACTCCTTGCCCCCATAATTGCATAATTGCCCCTTTGTTTTGGATTAAATTTCACTCGTCTACAACTCCTCACGAGTACATTATTTGAAATCTAGAATTTTTAATATTTCTCTTTTTGTTTCTAGATTTGAATGTAAGAATGATCATGAGAATGATTCATTCATAAGGAAGAAGTTTTCGTACATCTTCTCTTTGTATTCTTGGAATACTGTTTTAATATAATTTTTCTGTCCTGTAAATGACAAGTTCACAAGTTTTTACACGTGAACATTTTTAATCTGAGTATTGCTTTTATATTTTCGCTGCATGTTCATACAAGTGTCATAACACTTTATACAACACCTCTGTATTAAACGAATTCGGGACCATAAATTATTTCAGAATGTTTGGATCATGAGCTTATTTCCTATTTTTACTCATTATAAGATCTTAAATAAAATGGTAGGGTAGAAGTATTTTTCTAAAAAGATCTTATTTGTTCTCCAACAACTTATTTAAAATCCAATTAAGATTTGTTTTTTTTTAAATTTACCAAACACTTTGGAAGAGCTTATAAACTTTAAAACATCTTATAAGCTCATTTTAACATCTTATAAGCTTAACCAAACACGCTCTAAGTTTGGCTAAGTTTGGCAAAAGTGATATAGTACTAAATCTAGAATAATAAATACAGATTGATCGGGACCTCCTCACGAAAACCCCTTATTATTGTGCTAGATAATAGTAATGTAGCATTATTACTGTCTATATTATTGTGTTAAGTAGTAATATAGTTAATATTACTCTAAACGACAATAATATTACTGTTTTTACCGAGGCAAAAAATAAATTCTGGAAAAAAAAAATCAACGCTGCCGGCGGTGGCAATTTTTTCCCATGTGAACATGGTTTAAATTAGCCCCAAGATCAACTAGTCCAAACCAAAAACCATCCAATACAAAGTCTCTGTTTATTCTATTCTACACCCGATGACCTTCACTGATTTACACACATGGACATATACATATATGTATATGATTGTGTGTAAATTCAATTATTTGTTATCTAGACTCAAAACCAAAACTAAGCTAATAGATAGTCCAATCCCAAAGTTAATCGATTTCTCCTCTCTTTCGCTTGTACAATCTCAACTGCTTCAGTAAAACTGCAACTCCTTCTTTGAGGTTAGCTCTCCTGCCTTCATCATAGTTCCACAATTCAGAAATAATGTACCTTCCACTCGGGTTATATTCGTTTATCTCACACAAAGCTGATGTCACAGCATTGTAAACTTCTTCACCATAATTTTCCCTCAGGTCCCTCAGTTTTTCGTCATCTTCCTTTATCACAGCCTGTAATAAACCTCCCCAACAAGTCAGTTACCTTCCAAATTCTTAATGCACCAGAGTTTCTAGAAATCAATCGTAACGTGATATTAATTTTCGATTTCCATGTCATTTTTATGACAAAAAATCTAAATATTATACACAAGTTCAATAGCCTTCTCTTACTCTCACGTGGACAGTTTCGTTAATGTATGTGTCAAAACCATAGTAGTTTATTAAATTGAGTCTTGCACATGCGCTACCACTCCATTAACTATTTGATTCCGTAAACTATTATACTACATCTCAATTCAAATATGCAGATACCCATTGGGCTATAAAACATAAACATCAGTTTACGCTATGCTACGGAAATCAGAAAATTTGTATTCAGATTATTAAATCATTTAACAAATAAGTTGGTGCACATCAGTTTGACGCAGATGGTCAGAAAAAAGTGAGTGTGTAATAGGAAATAAATCTTAGGTAGACATGACCACCGGTTCGGTTAGAACCGGAACCTGAACCGGAACCGAACCGGGGTCCACGGTTTTAGAACCGGAGCGGAACCAGTTTGACCGGAACCGGTTCAGTTCCGGTTCCTCATTGTTGGAACCGAGAACTGACGGAATTTACACACAATTGGCAGCTCCTAACGGTCAGATTTTAAAAAAATTTAAAAGTAATTTTTTTTTTTAAATTGAATTTCCTTCAAAAATTCCAAAAGTAAAAAAATATTTTTAAGTATTTTAATAAAAAAATATTTTTTAAAGTATTGTAAAAAAAGCTTTACTTTTTTTTTTTAAGTCTTTGAAGTATTTTTTTTAAATTAACTATTTTTAAGTCGTTCTTAAGTAATTTTAATATATATATTAAAAAAAAAAAAGTCAGAACCGGCCGGTTCTAACCGGGAACCGAACCGTAAAGAACCGGATATTTTCAGTTCGGTTCCGGTTCCTCCAAAATCAGAATCGGAACCCGAACCGAACCGAACCGTGGTCAAGTCTAATCTTAGGTCGTTATCCAAACTAGGCAGTAAGCACTAGACTAATAATTGAAGCATTTTCAACAACTCGTTTACTATTATTAATTAGGACAACTTTGTCATGAATTATGCTCGACAATTTCTTAATATATATGCTTTAAAGCCATACCTGATGTGTACCATTAACGTCAACAACCTTCACAGGGTGCCATTCAGGGTCTCTAAGGTACTCTTCGAACAGAGAGCACAATTCGGAGGCCCTCTCATTTGCTTCAGCCTCATTATACTTTTTTTTCATTGCTTCATGAAATGGCTTGCTGTCGAGCTCCCCCATTCTCTTCACGCCAATACGACCATTTATTGATATTTCTTTGAAGCCCTAGAAAGCAACTTTTTGAGCCATTCCACTCCATATACTTTGTCCCAAAAAGGGGCCAAAAAAAAAAATGAAAAAACAAAAATAAAGTCGTAGAAAATTAAACAAAAAGAAAAGCCTAGCTTGCTTCTATGATCAAATTAAAACTGCATGATTTCATATCCTAATATCATCATAGACAAAGAGAAGGTACTGATTTAGACTTAACTCTGAACGAAAACAGATAAATTCATGCAAAGGAGTGAACTTTTATTTTCAATATACAAAAATAATTTAAAAATCTCACATTAACCAATTCTTTCCGAGCATCCTGTAGGTCATTATTTCTGTTGCGCTCCTGCAAAATTAAATATTGGTTTAAAGCTTCCAAATCTTGAAGCTCTTCTTCTTTCTCTCTCAATGCCTTGATCAGCAATTCCACTTTATTTAACACTCGTAAATCTCCTTCGTGCCCCATGTGCATCATCACATTTAGTTTACCTCTCAGTTGCTCTACTTCAAGCTGCACTGCTTGTTTTGCATCCAATTGTTTCTCCAATTGAATAATTCTCTTATGGAGCTTCTCCTTTTGTTTCTGATATCACAAAGGCAGCGTAGCATACAATTTATTACAGAATTTTGTACCTGACCTTCTGAAATAAGTCCACTCGTAATCCTATGGTAAATGAGAAGAATAAAGTACCTTATGTTCTTCGGCCAATTTCATTACATTCTCATCAGCTCTTCGTTGTTCCTTGGCAGCAGCTTGAAGAGAGCAATTTTTAACAGCATTCTGGATGAAAAATCGTTATTAAAAGGTTAATTACATATGCTTAATTACAGAGCATGGTGCACAATGAAAGATACATAATTCATTAAAACAATTATCAAATTTGACTTCTATATGGGATTTGGGCATTGTTATCATGCTACAAATGGTAGCATAAGCCAACTAGAGAAGGATGCTTTATTGGAGATATTAATATTAAGGTGGTGTTTACAAAAGCTTATTTAAATGCAGAAGTTAGTGATTGTGAGTTAAGTTGTAATAAAGTGGAAAATTAACTAAAATAAAAGAAGCAGGTACATGGGTGCTTTTAAAATTGTAGCTTAAAGCAGCTTATTTTAAGAGAAGCAAAAGCAAAAGCTTGTTTTGCAAACACCTAAAAACAGATTATGTGCATAAAAAAGCTCATAATCTATTTCTAAAAGCATTTGCAAACACCACCTAAATGATACATTTCACTAACAGCTTAAGCTTTTGGTTGAGACGGTCAGTCAACATGGTATCAGAGCCAGGCCAAATGAAAAGGTCCTGAGTTCGAATCCCACAGCCACCCATTTCAAATATTTCAAGTGCAAGGAACGAATGCAGAAAATAACATATTTAGTAAAACACATCTGCTCCATATAAATTGCATATTCACAGGTTGATTTAAAAAAAAAAAGAAAAAAAAAAAGAAAAGAAAGAAAAAAGTCAACACAATGTAGCTTTCAACAAGAATCAAGCTTTCAAGTCAGTCAAGATATTTTAACCTAGAGTGTAGGTAAAAATTAGAAAACATGAAACTCGGAAACGGATTTACGTATTACTTGAACATACCACTTGCTATCATCAGTAAAGATCAATCAATTACGGATTTACTAATATTCAGAAAATTCAGAGGAAAGGGAAATACTAACTCATTTTCAGCGATCAATCAATTTTAGCCAAAATAAACATTAAAGATACAACTCATCATAACATCGAAGAAAGATATACAGAACCTGTTCAAGTTCTTCAGCGAGCCTTTCTCTCTCGATTTTGTTGTGTGTTTCACGTTTCATCAGCTCTTGACCCCTTCGCTCGAGATCTCTCTTTTGAGTTTCTAATTCAACTTTCAGCTTCTCATGGTCTTTGAATATCTTCTTGTAATGATCCCACGCACTCGACTGAATTTTTCTTATCTCTGATCCACCAAAAAAAAAAAGAAGAGTAAAATCAGGTACAAACAGACATCCGATTACATTGATTCCGAAAAACATCCTAAAAAACTATACGCACGAAAAAAAACCTTCATTGTAAACTCGACGAATATTATCCCTTTCCACGATCAATTGGCTTAAAGAGCTTTCAGTCTCCTTCACTTTACTCTCCATCTCAAGCAAGCACCTTTTTTTCGACTCGAAAGTATTCGTTAAACTAATTACAAGCTTGTTAGTCTTTCGAGCTTCCTCTTCCATGATATCCAACACAGTTCTTGGATCTCCGAATCTACGAAGAGTTTCTCCAATAACGTCGTTAGCATTATAGTCATCTACACGAGCAATCCACGCATAGAGATCCGAACTCTTGTCGGTCTTTGCCAACCAATTTGTCTTTCCATGATTGTTAACCTCGTAATCTTTGTCGAAAAACATAGCATCGGCAAATCCAGACCAATCCTTACGAAACTCAACAATAGCAGTACCCGAATGCCATTTGTCAATCCACAAAGTCCGAACCCTAATCGGATTAAACCCTCTCCTCGACAACCGATCCCTCAATTTACTACCACTCTCCCCCACATAGCGACCATCTATCAACTCAACAGGAATATTTACAACAACGCCACTCCATGGCCAGACAAGCATTTCACTAGGGTCGTAATCCGTAACAGCTTCCACTACAACAGAAGAAGAAGGCGGCTTTGTGGAACTGCCGGCACAAGCAACAGCAAAGTCGATTTGCAAGTACTTTGCCAGAGAAAGATGGTTCGCCTTGTCCTTTGCGGTTCTTTTCTTCGAACTACAAGTGGCAATCGCACTCGCGTGCTGCAACAGATCCTTATACTGGAAATTTATCGTCCTTCTCCAGGGGCAATATGGGCATATGTTAGTCTTTCGAGCTTCCTCTTCCAATATATCCGATATGGGTCTAAGGTAACCAATCTTGCGAAGATCTTCTCCAATAATACTATTAGATTTATAGTCGTCCACTCGAGCAATCCATGCATAGACGTCGTCCGAACTTTTGTCCGTCTTCGCCAACCAATTCCTCTTTCCATGATTAGTGGAGTCGTAAGCTTTCTCAAACGACATGGCGTCGGTTAATCCAGACCAATCTTTATGAAACTCAACTATAGCAGTTCCCGAATGGCCTTGGTAACTCCACAAAGGCCGAACTCTGATCGGATTAAATTTTCTCTTCGCCAACTGATTCCTTAATTTAATACCACCCTTCCCCACGTAATGACCATTCTTTAAATCGGTGGGAATGTTGACCATGACGCCGGTCCATGGCCAGACAAAAACCTCGTCACGGCCTTGTAACCCTTGTTCTAAAACGGCGGCAGCATGGCTCTTAGCGGAAGGCGGCTTCGAACCACCACCTGCGGGAAGAACAGCTATGTCGGTTTGCAAGTACTTTGTCAGCGCGACGTGATTCGCCTTGTCTCGTTCGGTTCTCTTCACATTCTGCGAACTACAACTGCCGATTGCAGTTGCATGCTGCAACAAATCCTCGTACCGGAAATCTCGGGTTCGTTTCTCCGGGCAGTAGGGACATGCGTAAGATTTGTTAGATATCTTAACCTGGTACTTACCATTCTTCAGCTCCTCGTACATCTTCTTCTCGTAATCATTTTCTGGACTATGCTCCCAAATAATTTCCATCACTCTCACATTCTCAATCAGTGAAAATAGAGAAATAAATTGAATTAAATTATTTCCATTTCACCGAATTAAATTGAATCTATTAGGGATTCACCCATCCATAAGGTAATCAGAAAAGGGGAAAAGAACAAACTCTGAAAATCTGCATTGACGTCTGAATTAAGCATAGTCGCCCTCTGGTTTCTTCGTTTTCCTGTGAATTTCACAAATTTTTGGAAGAATTTTACCAAAATTGCAGCATCTGAGCTGAATTTGCTAAAATCCAACCACATTCAACTAAATCATAAAAATGATTAATTCGAAAATTCTCAAAAATTTGTGTTGAAATTGAAAAAGTAAGCTAATTGGGAGCCGAAGCAATGACCAGTAGATACAGCCCCAGCAGCGATTACTGGAGAGCACTTACGCATCGTTTCTGTAATTACGATCCCACCATGGGACTTAATACAATTTGGTTTCTTGGAAGGGTTTCGGTGGGATTGGATTATTTTGGTCGGTTTACGCTGTTTCGAAAAGGTGAATTGGTACGTAGCTCAAGTTTGGTATCTTGGATTCGAACATTTGGATTGTGGCATCATAGCTTATCAATCTTGCATTAGTTTTATTTGATTGATTCCGAACATTGTGACATTGTGTGAAATTATAAAAGTGCCCCCTCGGGGCCATCTAAAATATTCTAAAATATCTTTATGTTTGCAGGGGACACTTCTTTAAAAAGATGCATATATTTTGATTTTTCCCCAAGTTAATTTTTTTTTTGCCCTAACTCATCATCTTTTATCAATTGTATGGCATACGATTTGCTCATCTAAAAATCATATCGATTGTTTGTTCCAATAGTTCATATTGACCGTATTGTTCACCATCTCACCATGAGTGGCATCAATTCTTTGGGTGCGAGGGCACGTGGAGGCGGTTCTACACGTTGTGGTTGTCATTTTGATGAAGCAGTGCCGCTATTTTGCTACTGTGGGTTGAAGTTACAGTAAAGACGTCGTCGACGAGTGCCGATCCAGGTTGTCGGTTTGTTTCATGTCCGGAACGAAGGAGGGTAATTTAGTTGGTCAATTTTCCATATTCGTTGTTAATTAATTATTTATATCAGTTATTCATTTAAAAGTAAAAGCCAAATTTGAATTGCTCAAGATTTTTTTATAAAATTATAATATCCAACATGATTTAAAATGCAAGTTCTTCGGTTGACGACGAATTTTATGAAAATTCCAGTAGCGTTATTTATGTATTGAAGGAAAAAATTGAAGGGTTGAAATTCCAGCTGGATCTTGAAGCTAGCAAAACGAAATTCTACAGAACGGTTGTTATATGTTCACCACTTGCTCTGGTCTTACTTTTCCTTAAGTTGGTGGTGTTGTATACATTGTAGTATAACTAATTATTGTGTAGTTGTAATGGTCTTCTTCTTTTTAGTTATGATCTACTACTCATTTATCTATGGTGTAGTAAAACAATAAAAAGTTGTATTTTGCTTATTGTATGTTTCTATTATTGACAGTAAATAAATTATTATCTATTTTTTATGATTATTCTTTTAATTTGGCAAATTTCAAATGAATATTATCATCTAGTTTAGCAGATTCTATAATTACAGTGGTTGTGTAGAGAATATTGTGTTTTTTCTGCACCACAATATTCTTTTTTGCTGTCAAATGATATATTCCTACGCAAAGTAACATAATTCATGAAAATCATCATTGTTATAGGGAAGAAAATGTAGTACAGTACCCCGTTCCTGCCTATACATAGATGAACTTCAAATGACTTTCCCAAGCCACAAACATATGCAAAATTTGCTTCTGCATTCTTCATCCCAATATCATTATATGGCTGCCAAAACATCCATCATCTTCTCCCAAGTTGATTTCATGTATGAGTTAGATTGGGATGAGAAGGTGGATGATACCTTCATTCAAGTTTTTGTTCTACCAAGCTCGTCTGGGGAATTTCGTTGTTGGAAAAAAAATAAGAGATTCCATCCGAATGGCAAAAAACGTTATCCAAAAAAAACATGGCAAACACTTCTCTTCAAAATATTTTCTTAGGAACTTATCCATTCTCGAAATGAGGTACGATACATTTACTTGGATGTTAACTCTACCGGGGGTGGAGTGGGATCAACCAACTAACGCTGTAACCGCGGGATGATGTATGGAAACAAATTTTGAAGGTATTAATTCTCATTTTTTTCAGAAATGTGTCCAAACGAAATAATATGGTTTTTTTGTTGTTCACTCACCCAAAATTTTTTTTGGAAAATGTAGGATCACACGTTTGCTTGGGCTTATCGTACATACGGTGACTCCAAATGGGAAGATCTACAAACCATTTTCGCCTCGCCCGCTATTCAAGCTAACCCGCAAGTTGAAGAGGTTATCGCGTTGTCATCGGAAGACGATGAAGAGGTGACGCCCGTAACTGGACCTCCTGTGGTATCATGCCCGAAAAGACAGTTGTAGACATTTCTTCAGATGAGAGTACATTAAACTTCAATGTGTGGGACTACCTTGTTAGAGTAGGTGACCGAAGAGCCAACTAATTGTTGTGTTTTCTCACGATACTCGTAAATAATCTATTTCATATTAATGATAAATTCTATAAAATGTTTGGCATTTTATATCTTTGTCCCTTGCATAAGCATAGATACAGTCCTTACAGTTACTTAATTACTATAAATAGATCTAGTAGAATTGTGAGATTATTTAGTTAAGTATAGTAACTGTCAAACATAGTTCCTAGTCAACGGGTTACGCCACTAATGAGGATATCGGCCTTTCCCATTTGAGACTAGCACTTAGTGTATGTGTATTGTGTCTCATCAGTCAATGGTGTTGTGACATCGACATACATAAGTGGGTGCTCATAAGTTGATGAGTTCACTGAACTCCCTCAATCTAGAGATCTCTAAGTGGTGCCTAATAATCGAGTAGAGGTTTCTATAATATAGTTGTACACCATTAATCCTTAAGACCTAGACTTCACCGTGACTTCACTAGAGGACCAGCTGTATCGTGACATGTCTCTGAGTTCCTCCGAGAACCGCCCCAAGGGCCAGTGTTCGTGGAGTCCAAAATCTAGTTGGAGGTATGTGCATTGTAGTAGGGGATTCGATCGATTGATGAGTCATGGATATCCTGTGTGTTCTTGCAATTTATAATCCATGAATTCTATGGCCACAGTTGAAAGTGTCGTGCTTAGAGAAATATGTTTCTCTAAGTCAAACAAGAACGTCCACACAGCTATTGAACTCATAAAGAGATCTCGATGAACCAATGTCTCTAGTTCAATCGTGATATATGTATCAAAGGGATCGTACTGTACGTTAACTATATCACACGGTTCTTGCAGGCACTTCATTTGTATCTAGGGAATCACGATGCGTAGTTGCTAGACGCCAATCTTGATTCGTTGGGTAGTGAAGTTGAAACTAGCTTCAACTTTATTATAACTCTAGGGACGAGTTTAAACCACAATGTGTTGTGGACCTACGACTAGCTTACACCTGAACCATCGAGGGTCACACTGGTCGTGTACTTGAGATCCTTAATGCAACGAGCTAAAATTAATTAGTTAATCTTAGTGTAGTTGGAAGTCAATGTGATTGAGTCCAACATTCGTAATTTTTAATTACAGATGAGAATAAGTAGAGGAAAAGAATCCGATGAAAAGTTAGTGAACTTTCTATATTGGGAAGTTTCCTGATTTGGCGAGTCCTAAATTAGGGTTTCCAATTTCGAAAATTGGAAAATTGCAAAGTGGTACTCGTATCGACGAGAATTTTGTGCTCGTCATCAAAATATAATTTTTATACTTTTGCGAGCATTCGTTTGATATAAACGAGCCGAGAAAGAGAGTGGGCTCATGTTGTTGGACTTAGCCCAACTTAAGCGTGTTAGGGTTTTCACAAGGAGCATATAAATAGGATTTATATGTCTTGTGAAAGACACGACAACAACACATCACAAGCTTGAAACCCTAGCCTCTCTCCCTCAATCAGCTGTCCACCTTGCAGCCGAAACCCTACCTCCGCCACCAACCGCTGCCAGTCGCCGCTGCATCGGCATCTTCATTTTCCTCTCGTTCTTCTTCGTTGTACTTAGCCTATCACGTATCTAATGCTGCGTGGATTGAATATACGAGTTTAAACCTAAGAGGTGGAAGATTCTTCTACCGCCAACGCCGGCATCAGGGTCGTCTTCACGCGCCTTCACGCTCCGCCACAAGCCGGTGATGTGAAAAGGCAATTCTGAAAAACTGCTCTTGGATTTTCTGCGCAGTCCAGCGAGAAACAATTCTCCACAAATCAACCAGTGATCAGATGGACCTGAAATTTTGGCAGTAGCTTCCGGACTTATGGATATACAATACTACGGAAGAGATTGGCAATCCAACCAATAAATATGGAGATATTGAAGTCAGAGCAGGCCTGTAATTTCAAATCAACAAACAGGTTGGATCACTAGGAGTGGGAAGAGTAGCTAGCCATCTTCCCGAACAACAATATTACTAATAATAATAATATGAATATGAATATTACTTTCCCGAACAACAATATTACTAATATTACTGTCACAAACAGTAATATAATTGCACGAGACATTAATATTACGGTCGGAGGCAGTAATATTACGGTCGTAGACAGTAGTATTACGATCGAAGACAGCAATATTGAAGGCCAAGACAATAAAGTTACTTAATACATTAAAATTACTGTCTCGGGTAATTAAATTACTGTCTCAGTCAGTTAAATTACTGTTGCCAACAGTAAATCAGTAATATAGTAGGCAAAGACAGTAATTAAAATATTTTTTTTAAAGAAAAACCAGTTTTCAGAAAAGAAAAAAAAAATTTAAAAGTCAATGCCGGAGACACCAGCGTTTGACTTGCCGTTTTTTAGAAAAACAGAAGTTTTCAAAAAAAAAAAGTCAACGGCGGGTGACTGGCGGTGGCGGTCAAAATTGGAATAAGGCTTAAAATTGGTTAATTGATGAAATTGTGCAAAATAAATTGGGGTGTAAATCATAAAATTGGAGTTGAATTAGGGTTTCAAGGAGTTTGGGGTAATTTTGGTATATATAAAAGGATTTTCTTTATTTACAAATAAGTTTGAATGATGTGGATTTATTTGGAAGACAAAAGTGGGATGTCCCCCTTTTAATTAAGTGTTTTTGTCATGGAACTATGTGTCATTTGCCCATATAAATTTCACTATTCGATGCATATTATTATTTCCAAGTGTTTGAACAATTCGATTAACAATGTCGATGCCGTCCAAATTGGAATGCGTTAGCAAACGAAAAATCCACAAACATCGTCATCGTTGTCTATTCGGGTCTTACTAGGCTTGGTTGCATCCGGGTGGAACGGGATGTATCGCACAAGGTACTACTAGTATATCAAAATGTATGGCGCGGGTTTCACTATTTATCCCCTTT